ATTAAAGCAGCTAACCTAAAACATATATCTCATTAATTTGTTAAAAATATAGCTTAAATCAGTTTTATGTGCATACTGAAAAGGCAGAAAAAAAATAGCCTTGATTTAAAACCTGTTTTAAAGCAATAAGTAAATAAAGTACACTGGTTCTATTAGCATGTCAAAAACAAGTTACTGTTATGTACTCTAAAAACAAATCCCAAGTATCACATCATGATATATAACACTCTTACAAAAGAAGAAATATCAGATTAGGAATATACTCTTTTTATGTATTTGATAACAAAGAAGAGTAAAACATATGCAACATCACATTATGAAAATAACTAATAAGGTACATTGACTAATAAGGTAAAAATCAGTTGATCATTCTTTCACAGTAGCACTAAGTTCTTCATTCAAAATTATTAATAGGTCAAAACAGATTTACGATTGGTGCCTCAAATTTAAGGTCGCACAAAAGTAAATTTGATTTAGCTGAACATGAGATCTTCCATGACAAATTTATGAACAAATTGATTTTCTTTAAAATGTACTTGCAAATTTAACAAAAGCATGCATAAAATTTAACATTAAAATCTAAAGCACCAGTATTTAATAAAGTGAATTTAATCACACTTTATACAATTTTCTGATAAAATTTTAATTTTTATACAAAAATAGAACAAATTAAGGAAAAGTAATTAATTTTGTAAAGCTACTTAAAACATATTTCCTGTTCACGCATTTAAATAAATTTAAGGTAAGTATACTTAAAAATACAACATGAAGATTTCTTACTAGATAAAGCATGATAATGGGATCAAAACAATTTGTCGAATATTTAAATTAATACTTAATTTCTTCAAAATTCCTAAAAAATACAGAATATATTTATTAGTGGCGTAACTAGGGAAGGACATCCGTCCCCGGGCACAGCATCCAGGGGGCGTCAAATTGATGATACACGTTTCAGAATGAAATGTTTTCCATTCTTGGAACACAGAAAGGGGCGCAAAATCTTTAGGCGTCTCCGGGCGCTAAAAACGTTAGCTACGCCTCTGATATTTATCTTACACATGCAAATAAAAATGTCTTACTATAAGGAAAAACCAAAATTATTTATAATTTAGATCACACTCAAGTTTTCAACACTGGCGCTAACAGATTTGGGGACAATATATCAGAATCAAAATGGAACGCTACTTTAAATTACCAGTCGTACAGTAAAATTAAATAAATATAAGGCATATCATATTTTTAACCCAGCACAAAGTTTACATGAAATGTAGGATGCAATTTTACAAACAGTATAAACTATTTGCGATAATAAAAGAAACATCACGAACAGTATTGGCAATACTTTTACTGTACAAACACATGCACATTCCGCGATTGATTTTGTATTTGTAAAATCAGTTGATAGTCAATAAGTGACAGTGAAATAAAAATACGCATTTTGAAGAAATACGAAGCGTAATTTTTCTAACATTCTATGGAAAAGTACGAAGCTGAACTTACCTCACCAACGACACGCTACTGGGCTCGAAATTCATTAATCCTGAGGACAATTAATTATCCATTGTATGCAAAGCGAGCGCATTGCTTCAATCACGGAAAATTCACTGCCGACGCAGAGAAATTCGACTGGTTTCATCCAAATACGCTTCAGCTAAAACTGACGCAAAACCTTCCCCCGTGTTTATTCCCGGAAATATAACCATCTGTTTATATAACAGGAAGGGTCCTTACTTTAACCCGTTCAGGACCAGTGTCGCGTATACGCGACGCAACGATTCTACTCCTACCAGCCCAGCATCCCGTATACGCGACGCAACGATTCTGCTCCTACGAGCCTAGCGTCGCGTATACACGACAGTAAAATGGAACGATTTATTTAAATTTTTAAAACCCAGTAAATGGAGCTAAGTGGTAATTGTTTTCACATAGGTTGATTCATATGGCATTTTACCTTCATGTACTGGCATTAGTTTTTGTTTTGTGCTTCTGGTTTTGAGAGATTTGTTGAAATAAGTGCGCCTGATTGATTATTATAAGTGCGGCCTGTGAATCAGTCCCGGATCTAGGGGGGGGGGAAGCCGGGGTCTAAGTCCCGGGCTGCAAATTCAAGCGTGGCACTGGATCGTATCTGGAATGTTGTCAAATTTTGATACAACATTAGTAGTTTTAAAGCCAGGTTTGAAACCTCTTTTAAGAATATTTATAATTAGTTACTCGGAAAGCTTTTAATGGAACAAACACTTTGTGAGCAGACTACTAGGGGTCTCATCAGACCCACGGAAAGAAAGACAGTTTGTTGAAAGATACTTATAAAGGATTCGAAAATAACTATGGATTTAATATGGAAAAACACTTTAATTGCAGATATTTACAAAATTTTTAGAAGCAGTTATTCTTACAGAAACGATAGAACTTATTTTTCAAAACATAAAACTTAAAACAGAGTTGAGTTGTAGCTGGTCTTACTCAAACAACCTCCCACCTTGCAATTTGTAGGATACCTATAAATTGCAACAAAAGTTATAAATCAAGTCTATTGGGAATTTTAACACGTCGGCCAGCTCTAGTAAGAACAAAATCTTGGACTTTGGGTGAGGAATCATCATCTTCGCTGGAATCTGAATCATTAGCTGCAGGGCGTAGAGGCACTTTCCTACCTTCGAGCATCTTGGGCAACGAATGGTAACTTTTCCGAACTGTTGATTTCTAACGGATAAAGTCTTTGGAATTGTCTCAACTTCTCTCCATCAGCTGTTCTCACTCTGGCAACTCTTGAGTGCCCATCTGCTCCAGAAAAGACTTCAATGTCGATTCCTAAAGGCCAGTTGATACGCTTGCCATCAGTTTCTAAAAGAACGACCTCTCCAACTCTTAAAGATTCTTCCCGACTCTTACCTTTATGAATCAACATTGCTAAATACTCATTCCGAAATCACATTCTTAAATCCTGCCTTAATTTTTGCACAAAACGCAGTCTTATAATATTTAAACTTTTACTGTCAATTTCGTCTAAATCAGTTGTTTCACTGTTAGGAATACTTTGTAAGAAACAAGCGGGAGTTAATGGCTTCAGACCTTCAGAATTGTCTTCAATATATGTAAGTGGCCTAGAGTTTATTGTAGCTTCGCAGTCACATAGAATAGTTTCCAACTCTTCATAGTCAAGACTTTTCCTTCCCAAAATTCTTCTTAGCATCTCTTTCAACATTCTAACCATGCGCTCCCACCATCCTCCCCACCAGCGGGCTGTTGGAGGGTTAAAATTCCATTTTATTTTCTTGATAGTGGAAAACGACATGATCTTCTCCCAATCTAAATTTCTTAGAGCATTGCTTGAACCAATGAAGTTTGTACCGTTGTCAGTGTAGATTATATTTACTTTACCTCTTCGAGCAAAGAATCTTCTTAAAGCCATAATAAAAACTTCTGTAGACAGGGAATTGACTAATTCAAGATGGTTAGCCCTATAAATGGCACAGGTAAAAAGTACAACCCATGTCTTTTCGCCAGAACGCAAATACAAAGGGCCTGCGAGATCAATTCCTGAAACTTCAAAAACTGCAGCAGTCTTTATTCTGTTCTTAGGAAGAGGTGCAAAAGGTGGTTCTGTAGGTTTGGCTTTGAATCTTTTACATGAAATACAACTAGAGTTAACTTGTTTCGCTAATCTATTGATCGAAATAATCCAGTAATCTTCTTTTAAATTGGCAATCAGAGTTTGAAGTCCTGCATGTTGTAGTTCACAATGCTTTTGCCTTACCAGTCGATGAATAATCTCATGGCTTCCGGGCAACAATATGGGGCACTTGAAATTTCCCTCTTCATCTCCCAAGAGAAGCTATGTTCTGAGTCGAACAATATTATTTTCGTCTCTGAATGTTTGCATGTTCTTCAAGATTTTCATTTTTCTTCCGGCAAAACTTTCCTGCTGAATTAATTTTAGCAAACAGTGTTCTGCTGATTGAACTTCTTCATAAGTCAACTCAGTTTTCTTAAGTTTTTCTTTTCGTTGGCAGTTTTTAATGAAACGAAGTATCCAGGCAAGCATTCTAAGAATCTTCGTATATTTCGAGAAATAAAGTAAATTGTCAGTGAAGTTAACTGATCCATGCTCCACATTACTGATTATCATTTTTCTCTCTTCCGATCTAACCAAATTTTCATCAATGACTTGTTTTTCACTTAATGGCCAAAATTCTTGTGACTTCCATAACCATTCTGGACCTTCCCACCATTTGCTTTTCAATAAATTCTTAGCATCACAACCTCTTGAAGGCAAATCTGTTGGGTTCTTATGCCCTGGCACAAAATACCAGTCATTCGGGTTTTGTATTCTTTCTTATTTCTGTGACTCTGTTTCCTACAAACGTATTCCAAAAACTCTCTCTTTTGATCCAAGTTAAAGCAACAGTTGAATCAGTCCAAAAATACACTGTATTGTCTTTCAATTCCAGTCCGTCTGCGACTTGACCATATAATCTTGATAAGATCAAAGCTCCCCAGAGTTCTAATCTAGGAATTGTAATCTCTTTGGTAGGTGCCACTCTTGACTTACTCGGTACTAACGTGACAGAAATCTTCTCATTAAATTCAGAACGTAAGAAAATACAAGCAGCATAGGAAACTTCACTGGCATCACAGAAACAATGTAGACTTATTCGGCAGTCTTCAAATGGACCTGAGACGAGTCTCCGTGGAATCTTACATTCTTTCAGTAAAGATAGTTCCTTGACCCAGGCTAAAAATCTATTTGATATATCTATTGGAAGTACGTCGTCCCAATTAATTTTCCTCTTCCAAATGTTTTGAAGCAATACTTTTGGTATCAATGAACGGGACATGTTATCCCAATAGGGTCAAGTAATCTTTGGTAGGCCGATAACACAACTCTTTTAGTAATCCTCTTTTCTGGAATTTCAACCATACTGCCGCAAAAAGTTCATCGGTTTCAGTGTTCCAAGAGAGACCTAGAATTGAAATGAATTTGTCATGTGTCTCTTCTACAATTTTTTCAGAATTCGTAGTTCGAATTGTGCTGAAGACATCAGCTCCTTAGCTTCAGAAATAAATTTTTCTGCCTCTTCTTTAGTTTCTAAACTCGTAATACAGTTGTCCACATAAAAAAATTCTTTGAGTTGACAAGCTGTGTGCTTCCTTTCATCCGGAGCGTTCTCTAGATGGTAAGCTATAGTTGCTTCTAGTAAAAATAGACTAGGAGAAGCACCAAATACCACTCTACAATGTCGGAAAGTGATTATTTCTTCTCGTCTTGATAAATCCTTCCACCACAGAAATTTAAAATACTTCCTATCCTCTGGATTCAAACTGATTTGTAAAAATGCTTTTTTGATGTCTGACGTTACGCCAATTGCTTTTTTTTTCCGAAACTGCATTATCAATTTGGGTACCAATTCTAATAAATTTGGCCCCTTTTCTAAACAATTATTCAAGGAATTTCCTTTGGAATCTTTCGTCGACGCATCAAAAACCGGACGAATTTTTGTTGTTGTTACACCAGTTTTTATCACAGGATGTCCCTTTTTCTCGTCTTTATCTACAATTTCAATAATTCCATCCCGAACCCACTCATTAAACACATCATCGTATTCTCTTAAATGTTCAGATCGTATGAGATATTTGGTAGTTGACATTAACCGTTTAGTGGCTAATTCCGTATTCGTTTCTAATTCTGGACGTCCACTTTTCCACGGCAAACATACTTCATATATTTTGTCTTCGTTTCTTTTAATAGTTTTACGGAAAAAATCTACCGTTTTCTTCATCGGTTACCTGCCTTGACTTTACTTCTGCAGGACATCTTATACCGATGACATCTAGGCTTCATAATTCCGTCAAATCTAAATTATTAGCATATACAATACTCTCCAAAGATTTTGAGTAGTTTTCTTTGTTTTACCTTGAAGCGTCCATCCAAGTTTTGTTTTTAATAGCTACCAATTATTATCAATGGGCTCAATTCTCCCAGTCCAATAATGCGCCAAGATAATCTGCTCCTATTAATAAACCTGTTTCAGGCACATATTCTCCTGTATTACTTAAGCGTATATTTTTTTTTTTTTTTTTCAAAAATTGGATAAATATCTGGATCCTCTACACGTGGAATTATGCCACATATATGTGGCGCAATTCCACGTTCTTTTCGTCCAAAACTGAAATAGTGTACTTGAAATTTGAACAGAAGCTTTGTAATTTAATATTGTAGACATTATGGGACTCTTGTTTAGTTTCACTGCCCCCAAAAAGACCATGACTCATCATTTCTTGATCTACAAGTTTCAATCTTAGTTTCTCCGCAATATCTCTTCGTATGAAAGATCTCTGAGCACCAGTATCAAATAATCCACGAACAATTCCGGACTTGTCACCATTGATGATTTTCACCAATACAGTTAACAATAACGTTGGAGAATTTTTTGGTGACAAAAGAACCTGTGCATCCGATTCAGATTGTTTGTCTTGTTTTGATTGATTTATATTTGGACACATAATGCTATGGTGTTTTTTCTTGCATATAATACACTTTAAATACCGTATATACTCGCGTATAAGTCGACCCCCCCACTTCGACATAAAAAATTCGTAGAAAATAAGAAACCCGCGTATAAGTCGACCCCCCCACTTCCGAAATCGATCGAGAAACTTCGAAAAAAATTTTTTAAGTACTACATTTATTCAAAATCATCTGAGAAAAAGTAAATATACGATAAAAAAATACCTTGGTAAATAAACAAATCAAAATCCTTCAACGTCTGATTCATGGTCAGATTCGCCAAACATTTCATAGAACTCTTCTGTCGTCATTGGCTCGTCATCATACATATTTTCAGTCTCGAACTCTGTATTGTTACAATCACTACTACAGCCTTCGTCGTCATTTTCACTTTCAAAAACAGCATCATCTTCCGTGCCGTCTAGTTCGTTGCTAATACAACATTTTTTAAATGATTTTATAATAATTTCAGAGGGTATTTCGCAGGCATTCGCATTTTTCAGGGGCAAAAACATAAAAATTTCCAAAAGTGTCCACAATTTTGGCCACCACTGTAGTTCGTCACATAATTTAAGTCATGAAATTACTTCAAGTGACTTATTTGATAAGTCGTCCAATTCGAGTGCGGGAAGAAAACAACTGCATTATATAAAGAAATTTTTGAACTTCCGATTCTTTTAATTTTTTATGGTCCCGCGTATAAGTCGACCCCCCACTTTCAAGTCTTTTTTTTTTTGTCCAAAATATCTCGACTTATACGCGGGTATATACGGTAACCTTTGTAGATCTTAGAATTGTGTCCTGGTTTCAAACAGACGAAACAAGCTCCCCTTTTCTTCAATGTTTCCCTTTTCGCCTCCAATGACATCTCGGCAGCCTTAAAAACATTCTGAGGTATTATGAAACGACTTATTACAAAATAAACAATGTTTGTCATTTTTCTCAGCTCTTTGCTTTTCATTAGATACAATGCAAGCTGCAGTAGGAATTTTTTCTTTCGTTTTAAATTTTCAAATTGATCATTCGCAAACTCTGATCGAGCAAGTTGTAATCGCTCTTCACTTTCGACTTTCAAACGAAGAAATTCTAATAAATTTCCTAACATGTTCATCTTGTCTTTATTTTCTACACGGTTACGTGTGCGTTCCCACTCCTTGATAAGAGCTTCTAGCAGAGCTGATTCTACTAAAGGATATAACATTGCTTCATATTTTTCAGACGTTACCCCTGAAGTCTCTAATGCTCGCAGCTGAGTCTCCAATTTATCATAAAGAATCCGCAAAGTAAAATTTTCGCCACTTTTCGCTTGCGTTAAAACTACATTTAAAAGTTCACGAACATAAATTTGAATTAATAGTTCATCTTTACCAAAACGAGATTTCAGCTGTTCTATAGCATTATAATAGTTTTCGCCAAATGGTGGAAAACTTGCAACTAAATCTCTAGCCGATGAACCTTCTTCAGTTGCTTGTAAAAGATACTGAAATTTATCATCTGCATCAATGCTATCATCATCATGAATCTTTTTAAATTGTCCCCAGAATCCTAGCCAATTTTTAATATTACCATCAAAAAGTTTCAATTCTAACTTAGGAAGACGGTGAAAATTTTCGCTTGGTTTCATTTACTACACTGGAAAATATCGCCCTTTCTTTCAGTGGTTGATAACATTAAACATCAACTTTCGTTTTCATAGCAACCCACTGATTTCGATAGCTTTCCTTTAAATCCATATCATTAGAAAATTCATCTTCATTAAAATTTTCCCATTTCTAGCCATTTTACTTTAACTTTTTCATCTAACTGAAATAATCTATCAGCTTTATCATTAAATATATTAAATATAGATATCAAATCCATCTTACTTTCTGCTTCATATTTTAGAACAGTGTTCCACTTCTTTCAAAGGAAGTTGTGAAATATCGCCGTAATTGTGTTCTTTCCCGTTTTAAATTTTCCACAGTCCTGTTCCACGGACGCCAATATTTTAAAGGATTCGAAAATAACTATGGATTTAATATGGAAAAACACTTTAATTGCAGATATTTACAAAATTTTTAGAAGCAGTTATTCTTACAGAAACGATAGAACTTATTTCTTCAAAACAGAGTTGAGTTGTAGCTGGTCTTACTCAAACAGATACAGTACAGCATCCATAACTACCTGTGGGATCTCTCTCTTATTTTTCTTTCTCTGTGTGAATTAGTCACTTAATGTGAATTAGTCACTAAGTACAGTCGAATACGATTCTAAAGATAAGATCAGAGAGATTACAATAGAGGGACTCCAGGCCAAAGAATCTCTAAGGAAAAGAATGAAAGCTTCCATAGACGCAATGTAAACCTGTTTCGCCTCTGCGCCGCTATATCGAGGAGCCACGGCTATGCAGTGAAACAGCAGCGCAGGGTGGAATTTAAATAGCGCAGTCCGAGGAGATAGTATTTTTTTTTTTTTTTTTACTTTGAAATTCCTCAAAATGTTTTATTTTCATACATTTCAGATAAATTGTGTAGCTGATCTTTTATCTTCTAATCTTTAATCGTCTAGATGTTTCGCATAGAACATCCTAAAATTCAATTGCAAATAAAAAAAAAAGATGAAATAAATAATAAATTTTATTATTTTATAATTCCTTATTTTTTTTCCCTTACCCTTCTTTCTGTAAACTCACATAATTGTTTTCTTTTGATATAATATCTAGCATTAATTTATAACTAACATCAGAATTAATATAAAACAAAATTAACTACTGCCGTGATGTTAGATTTCTAACAAATCTGCAATTAATAACATAAAAATGTAAATCTTTTCATATTTTTATGAAAATGTAAATCTTTTCATATCAAGCATATTATTAAATATTAAAACAAAGAATAACACATTTGAGGTAAAAAATTATTTTTATTGACATTTCTCAAGTTTCAGAATATACATATGCAAAATAATTTTAAGCATCTTCACAACTACCAAGAAATTTTTTAGACAATTATTTGGAATGACCATTACGAAAACAATGAGCAAATTTTGCAGCCAAGAACCAAAAGCATTTCACTTAAATTAACAAATACAAATTACACTTAAAAGGTCTTTAAAGAATTTCACATAAATTATTAAATAAGTGATTTCATTATTTTTTCATAAAATATTCAATACTTCTTACATTTATTAATATAAGATTAAATACTGAACTTGAAAATCAAACCTTCCAGGTGTTATTAAAACCTGGGAAGAAATTTTAAATAATCCACTGAATCAAATAAATATTGTTGCAGCTCATCCTGATGAAGATTATTTCAAATTATGAAATTAGAAATTGATTTTTTTAAATAGCAATTACAAAAATGACTATTTTCCATCTTCACTATACATATAATAATTCTAAAAATGCTGTAGCTTGGATTTTATATAATTTTAATTTTGCCAAAAATCTCTTTAATCCAGAATTATTCCACCAATGAGTACATTTAATTCTGTGCGCTTAAAAAAGAAAAAAAAAAACACATATCATACGATACATAATGAATTTTTATGAATCCATATTTAAAATTTTACAAGCAAAATTTGCATATAACAAACTGAAACAGAAAACAAAATTAAAGAACAATTAAAAGCACCTCTAAATAAATTGAAAACACTGACATACATTATCAATATCTGACCACAATTAAAAAAATTAACATAAAAATCAATACATAATAAATATAACCCAAAAGTAATTACTAAACATAATAAAAATATAACAAAAGAAATTTTTCAGAAATTTAAAACAATCTGCGAGATCTTTTCCGAAACTTAAAATTTTAGTAACAGTCAATATTTCGACTAATAACCGTCAATTTTGTTGCACAGCATTCTTTGAGCATAACATGATAGGCGATCGAAACCATCAATTAATACAGTACAAAGTCCGAGATCCGGATGACCAATATCCGGAATGATCTAAAATCTGGACCACCAACCTTTTTTTTTTTTTTTTTTTTGTATGCTTCACGCATGCACACTTGATTCTTTTTCCTCCCCCAATAAAACATGAGATGAGTTCCGATTCTTAATTTCACTTTGGTATTAAATCAAATATCTCGCTACAGAAAAAACAATTATTTTAGCATAAATTTGTGTGATCAATAATTTTGCTTCGTAGCTGCATATCTCCTTGGCATACATCTCAAACCAAAACATTCTACGTAGAAACAGAGTTGATTTTACACTACTAATATTTTATATTCCTGATGCCAAGGTGGTGAATCATTATTTATTTAATTTTGCTTCTATCACCGCATGTTTATCAGCATATGACAACTCGAGAAATGACTTATGCAGCAATGCCTAAACATTTCTTTTTATATTAGTAATTGAATAACAAAGAGTTAAGTAACCTTTTATGTTGACATTACGATTGGCGATGATTAAAGTTAAATGCTCTAAGAAATGTTGACAAAAGTTTCTTTCCATATGCTAAAAAAAAAAAAAAATTATTCATGATACTCATAAACCTAAAGATTAAATTTAGTGCTTTTTGAATTAATAATTGATTTGGTTTTCACATAAACCCAGAATGTGCGTCACAGCTTGGATTGCCGAATTTATGGAAGACAAAATTTTTGGAAATTAGAGAAGCACCGAGCAACAAAATTAAGGGATGAGAATATTTTTAGAATTTACAGAAAGCACTGGAACCCAAAATTTAGAGGCGGCAAAAATTTAGAACTTGGGGAGGTGCTTGGTAGCAGAATTTAGAACCCGCAGAGCACTAAAATATCTAGCATCGGCCCTCGATAAATAGTATGCGGAATACTATTTATCGAGGCATTCTTAAATAGTATGCGGAAGTTTATTCAGGACTCAAATAAGCTATAAGCATGTGCAAGAAATAGACGTAAGTATAATAAATAACGCAGCTAATACAAATCATGCTTAATTGTCTCAGTGCGTAATAGAAGCAAGACAAAATTTAGAGTAACAACTTGTCTACCGCCACCAATCTCATGACACATAATATGTAATAATAATGTATAGTGGACACTATTAAGCTAGGCTAAAATTACACTTTACCAATTCCAAGGAAATTTCAGTTAGTATAGCGGATTGCGCTCTTAACTTTCCGAGTTGATCCAACTCATTATTTTTTGCAAGTTATTATCATCACAGCATTTTTATGAAAATTAAAGTATGAACTTTCGATTATGCCGAAATATTTCTGGAGCTGCAACAGATTCTACAAAGCGACAGCATCTTTTGATGTTAACCTTTTCCTGGAGGCTGGGACATTTATGCCCCGAGCAAAGTGTACGGCAACTGGGGGCTCGAGACTTGACGATTATTTTAAGACACCTTAACGAGTGCATTCTTTTGTGGGTTCCGCTAATTGGTAGGGGTAATTGTCTGTAATTTGAACCCATATGGCTTGTTTGCGAATTCGGTGTCTTCCTTGGAAATATTTTCTCAAGAGGAGAAAATAAAAAGAATAATTTCTTACTTTGATTCTCGCGCATTTGCGTTTTAAGATCTTTCTTCAATTTTTTTTTTTTTTTTCTTTTGCAAATACCGTTATAAATTCTTTGAGTTGATATTTATCATTTTTTCGAGTTTGGTATTAAATAATGGCTAAACGTAAAGGAAATTTTCTTTGTTTCATTCTTTTTGTACTTGTTTATTTCAATTTAGTCCAGTATTTAATGTGCATGTAAATGCAGTGTAATGAATATAAACGTTTCAGGTGATGAAAATTAATTTTAATGTTATTCCTAAATCACATGCATTCCATGACTACTATTTACTTGAGTGAAATTTTGGTTTGTTATATTCTAAATTATAACTAGCGGCTGAGCGGATAAAATTTCTTTAACACTGATAACTCAACACGTGTTCAAATTTCGATGAACGGGTTGATTGCATGAACCTTTCCTATTCGTTCATGTATATGAGGCAATTTCCTTCGAACGTCCTCCACGAAAGCCCCCTTCGATTAGGCAGATAGTCTTTTCTTTAATCAGACGAATAAAAATAAAATTATATTCGAAATAATAAAGCTATATTTATGAGCGTCTCATAACTATATTTAGAAACCCTTCCTTTTATGAATAATTTTGATGACAAAATGAATTTCGACTGTGCGATAAATGAAACACGAATTTTTATTAAAGCAGTTAGTGAAGAACATTTTATAATTAAAAATTTTAAAAAGTTTCAAAAGTTATTCATTTATCCGTTGTTATATGTTTGCGTCTATAATATATCATCTATCAATTCTTTCAGAAAATAGATACGTTAGTTTAGATTAATTAAACATGGGAAAACACACGAAGGCTGCCTTCGTGGAGAACTTTTAAGGGAAACTATCTCGCATTCACGTTTCACACGGGGCAAACAACGAAAACCAACCATGCAGCTAACCCGATCGCCTGCCCTCGAACCCAAGTCGAACTACCAGTATTCAACGGTCTTGACCACTCAGTCACAAGTAGTGTTCAGAAAGTAATTAATTTTAACGTGAGAATTGTGTTTTGGAGGAAATCAAACAATATACACTGACTACCAATAAGTATTTTGGACACCTGTGATAGAAAAGAAAAATTAACTTTATTCAAAATCAATAGTTGGTAGAGCCTCCACAAGAGGTAATTA